CTTACTGGGTACCGATGTGGTGTACTCATACTACGCTTTTGCACATCTTTTTGTGCAGATCCAAGTACATCTTACCAGTTTAGACGTCAGTGAGTGAAGCTACCTGCGCACGGAGACTTCGAGGTATATCTGTCAGCGTCCGCAGACTCCAGAGTTCCCTTCTATCATTTTATGTTGCTTCCTTATTTTTCTTTAGACCTTGATACATAGAAATATTGAGAATAAATTTTAAAAGCTTGTAACTTATTTCTACCGGATTTTGGGAGTTGTAATTATTTGGATTGTAGTTATTTATTTCAGATATTTATGATTATTCCGCATTGATAGGCTTACCTAGTCTTAGAGACTAGGTGTCATCACGACCTCCTACGGAGGGAATTTGGGGTCGTGACAACCCTCATCATACATATCATGAAATACTAGGTTTTCGTTACCACAAAGAGGAATGTTTACACAAATATAACTTGTAATAATTCAATCAAATGCATTTGATCATTTCTCCTTCCTTATCTCTTGCATTTCTTTGTTAGCCTATTGCTTCTTGAGAGGCTTTAAAAAAACAAGCAGAGATATATTTTCTACAAAAATGTTACATTAACTTACCCTTAAAACTAGCTCCAACAGCATAAGCCTTAGACATGATCACTTCAGTCATGTCTGCACCATCAAATTTTGCACCAGACATGAGTGCTGCTGCAAGTGACTTCCCCTTGAGGTTATTTTTCTCATTTGTGTAATCACAAAAGCGCAGATCAAGTGGTTTGTCATAAACACCATTGGCTTGACCTATTGTGTTACCAACAAAGGCCCGTGCACACCTATCTGGGTCGGTTGACAATGGAGGCAATCTCTGCAAAATCAACCCAAAATTGTAAACAAATGATAATCTTGCATCCATGTACATATGAACCAACGACAACTCCTGATAGATTATTCTGTCAAAATCTACATAGAGTTATTTCCTATCTTTGGAACATGAGCTCCAAGATGTTTTCTCTCCTTTAATAATACACTTGCACTTCTGTAAATCATCATATATTTCAAACTTCGTCCAATCCAACCTAGACTATAGCACCCTCACATGAACTTTATATAGGTTCTTTTGTTTTTTTAAGAGAGGTAACATTGGCATATTAACTATGTAGCTAATGACAACTTAGGTAAAACTTGGTAACAAACTTTTAACATAAACCAGTCAAATTTTGGTCTTAGATCCTAATTCATGACCAATCAAGAGAATGGTAAAATCCAAATCTACAGAGGAGTTAATCTGCTTGTGGATTGGGAAAATTAGATTTTGAATTTCTTATGCCATTTGGATTAGGATACTTGTTTGACAAACTAAAAACTTTAATGGCGATAATCTTTTACATGAATTCGCTCACACAATTTAACTTGGTATCAGAGCTCTTGGTTTAAGTCGTGCGCCCATCAATCAACAAAAATATTTCTACCCACTTAGCCAAGGAAAGAGCTATCCGCACGTTAAGTGGCATGCTGAAGAGCTAAAACTAAAAAGTTAAAAGATTCTAGATGAAGTGGTTTACAAGACCATTCAATACTGTGACAATACAAATTAGTAAAAATATAGGAGTAACAAATGCAAAGAAATATGTGAAATCGCATAGCAAGAGAGTAACTGTATGGCATTTTCCCAACCTGACCAGCAGCAATTACGGGAGAAACAGAATTAGCCACTGCCCAAACAGCAAGGAATCCACAAGCAACATTCCTAAGTTGCTTGAATTGACATGAGTTTTCCTCATTATCCGAACCCTCCTTGGAAGCTGCACCCCAGGTGCATCAAACGTTAATCGACGTAAAAAAAACCAAAAATTCAGATGCCATTTCAACTAGAACAGTATAGATAATGAGAAAAAGAAATCATACCAGAACATTTGATTTGGATGGGTGAGTGAAGTTGGGGAGTAGTGAAGTGAAGACGATAACTTGAGGAACGACTGAGGGAATGTGATTTATACGCCAGAGGAATAGATATGGACGCCATTGTTTGTGAATTGTGAGAGTATTATTGCCAGCGTTGGTCTGAACTCATTCTGACTTTATCCATCCATCTGTAGATACATCTCCATCCGACGTGGCATCTAGACGCTGCTCCTTTTACTTTCTTTTGCGTTTTGGCCCCCTACTTCTTCTAATATGACGTTATGGATCCTATTCTTTTGTCCGTTTAGTGAGTTTAGTCCTTCTACTTTAGACCATAGGGAGCGAGGGTACCTAACTAGTGTTAGAATCAATATCAATCTTATAAAACTATGATCTAGTATATCATATTATTTTAATAAATATTAGTTATTATTTTATTTTTTAATGTAATGTATAAAAATATAACAAAATTTATATAAAATCAAAGAATATATATCAGATAGTAATCAAATAAATTATTTATTTTTTATTATTCATTAAATTAGCAAACACTTAATACTATACATTTAGTAATGTTACTTTTTATTAACTTGTCAATTGACTTAATATTTTGAAACTACTTCTCTTTTAATATAACATAGATATATATTTTCTTACTCTGAAATTTTTTTATTTTTTTAAACCTTATGTTATACAGTTCAAAAATCTTCAATTGTCTAAATTTATCAAAAAATATTAGAGTGTTATTTACTTATGTTTTATTTTTTAATTAATTCAAATTATTATTACCATAAAACTATCTTTATCCCCCTCTCTTCGTACGTTCTTTTCTGCTGTAATATTTGATTAATTTTCTCATTTTGTATTTTACTGAAATTTTAAATGACGTAATTTCTTACTAAATTATAATTTTTAATTCATCAAAAGTATAAAGAGATAAGCCTTTATTATTTTTTTTT